ATTAAACTCCCCAAAAAAAACAGATAAAACAGTTTTGTAGAGGAGAAAAAGCTCTTTCGAATGAATGTATACATTTTGCTGAATAACAAAACAGAACATTGCAAAATAACTCTAACCCAAAACTCTGCGAACTTATGTTACAACCCAATAAATCTGGATAGGTGCTGTCAGCTCTCACTGCTGTACCTTGTTTGTTATGATTTTTAGACAAAAACAAACACCAATAGGCACTTTGAACATTGAATAAACATACTGTCATGAAGGTGATTAGAACCTTTCTATATTGATGGCTGATTGGTGCCCAGTGAAATTCGAATGGGTAAGATTATATGAACACTTTCAATGTGGATCTAACTTACAGACTTCACTTCGCCATCACGAATAAGAGCTCCTGACGAAGTAATGCATCCGACGAAGTCGGGCACTCCGTGCTCTCCACACTTGAATTGGAAAGACTTCTCTTTCCATTCAGAATCTAAAATAACATATTTATATTGTTCATCATTGCAGCGAGCTCAATGTCGGCATTTACTCCTTTTTAAGAATATCTTACCATACGGATGGCCATTGCAGGAGGCGTGCTTGTTCATCTTTTGCTGAAGAACGATCTGCCCTCCATTGCTCATTTTGCATTCCCAGGTATGATCGCCGACATCTTTTTCACCATTTACTGGTACCTGAGACACTGAGATAAATGTATGTGAATTAAGATTCCTACCAAAAAAGTTTATGAACAGGCTCTTCTAACTTCGTCTGTCGTTCTGTCTGTTCTTTTAATTTTGACTTCACTTGGATTTATTCAACTTCGAATTTGACGCATAATGAAGAATTTTCCCATGCTGCAGTATGAAAGCGCTGATACTTGAACAAAGTTGTAGCCTTCTAGGGCTTATCAATCTTGCCGTGGTATCGCACGATCGTGGCGCCACTTGAGTAGCCTGGTTGTGGGGAAACATGAGTTATGATTTCTCGGCCAAACACACACACACAACACACACACACGCACGCACACACACACACTCACACACACACACACACATACACACATGGTAAGTTAGATCGAACTGGGGAGACCCACTCCGATGGGCGGGGCGTTCTCCAAAAATGTAAAGCTTTATGAAAACACTTTGGAAAATCATAACTCCTGGACCTAGAGCGTTCAAGCTTGGCAGGAGTTCAGGCGGCAGGTTGAGTACCTCATGGTGGATGGCAGCACCAGACTCCGCCCACAGGAAGCGGGGTTTGAGCGAAAACCCATAAATCCTGTTCACGTGGGCCTAGAACGCTCAAATTCGATGGGTGATGCAGGAGGGAGGCCATTCCAACAGGGGGAGGAGGGGGCATCAGCCTGAGGGCCGACTGGTACATACATACATACATACATACATATATACACACATACATACATAAATACATACATTCATATACATCTAGACACTTACTAATAGCAGTAAGAGAAGGTTTATCTGGTTTGAAAAATAGTCAAGATAGGCTAGCTCAACCGTCCGAAACATTTTGTCCCATTTGGGGTTGAATTCATCCACTCGGGCGTGTAGTGAAGAAAAAATATGAAGATAATTATAAAAACACGTCCAATCGTTACAGAACTGTTCTAACGGTGTCTTCTTAAGAAAATGTAGAGAAAAGGGTGTACAATTCTTCTGTCCTACTTATGAATTCAATTAATTGTTGGAAGATTTTATGGTTACTAGTAAATAATTTCATACCACAACTTTATCCGGCGTCAGGCAACCGGACACCTCAGTTCGCCATGCTCCGTTTGGCTCGATTTTGCATTTCATTTTGAAGGCTTCGTTTTCCGTCTGAAATGTAATATTTGATCGGGTATTCTGATGGGCACGACTCACACTCAAAATTGCCATTTTGACTCCTCGATAACATCATTTACTTTTGCTTTAGAAACGCGCTAGAGCAAAAGTAGGTGTCCAGCTCTGGTCGATTCCCCTTAAGAGTACCCCGTTATATTCTCCCATATCGCATAAGAATGACAACTGCTTGCGCACTCATTTCATTTAACGAGGCTTGGGCACCTGTGTAACTTAACCCACCTGGAGCCTGAGTCATGACCGAATATTCCTAACAGCTTCAGGTGTCACCTCTCATACCAGAAAATGTACCCAGACATGCCCGAGTGAAGAGAGTGTGTTTGGCTCGGAAAGATGAATTTTCTCCAATTTGGATTGCTTCTCACTAGAGCCATACATTGATTGCTAGAACAGAAAGCTGGTAGAAAATACCCTTTGAAGGCGTCACCGGGTGGTGTCGTTCTCTTCGGAGTGTGGCGCTTTTTCTGGAAGCGATTTTAGCAGTTGATTTGACCAAAAGCCCGATATCCTCTTCCCGAACGATCTCGAGAACCCATGGATGCTTGGGAATTGGTACAAAGTTCGCTTCTGAGTTATATAAGGACTAAGGTGATGTCCACACTGCTTCACCACGTCCAAGGATACAGAGCAATTAGTTAGTGAGGTGGGTGAAATAGTAAGTTCGCACCCCTTTGAAGGTTGAATGCATCCTATGCTGAGTGCCGTATGGAGAACGTACTTTGAAGCATTTCAACTCATCAATACGTAAAAGTAAGTAAGAGCTTTAAAAGGTCACAGGTGAACTGTTGCAGAAATCTACGGAAACATAACAGCCGCCATATTTTTCACTCACCCACTCCTCGTCATTCTTGTATGTCTTGCCTTTGAATTGGCATCCAAGTACGGCGGTTGCTCCCAAGCAGATCAGTAGCAACTTCATTTCTTATCTAAAAACTTTAGTTTATTTTGAGTATTTTCAACAAATGAAGCAATCATCGCTCATCAACCCCTCGACCCTTGATACCATTGATAATTGTGCAAAAGCACTAATGTTAGGACGAGACGGGAATAGTTCATTGGTACTCTGAACTTACGGAATTACAGTAGGTGCGGAAAAAAACAAGCTCTTTTCTATTTATATGAGCAACAGCTTACAATCAGAGCAAATATGAAACTCGCGATCGCTGATAGATAATTTATAACAGAAGCATGTCCAAAGTCGTTCAGGATTGACATCTCCCTTTCTGTCTGGAATGATTCCAACCAGACAAGAGATGTATAGTATAGTAGGTTTTGGGCCTGCGTATAGGACTATATGATGTTCGCAATTTTCCTATTCACGCAAGCGCACAAGAGAATCAGGAGTTTCTAAGTCGGTCATCGAACGAAGATTAGATATGCCGTTTCTTACACCAAGGAATCGAAGATCAGGTGGGCCGTACACATATTATGATATCGTGATGACCGCTGAACCAGGGCGGATACTGACTGGATCTCTCGGAACGTGAAACGAACACAGGACAGCCGGCAGCGTGATGATCTGGCTTCTTCACGAAAGCCCTGAACGAATGGAATGCTACAGTGTGTTTCAAAAGTATGTGCACACCCGACATTTTGTTTTTTTGAGAATACCATTGCTTTCTGTAACCTGCGACCTTCACCATTCGATTCCTTGTGTGCAATAACCTACGAACCCTTATTCTGAGAGAGCATCGTAGCTGCTAACATAATTTTTATTAAAGAAAAATTTCTTCCTTGTTTCAAAAGTATGTGCACACTTGGCAAAAAACAAAAATATAACCGAGATCAGGAA